AGGCGCCAGTGCGCCGCTGAATGGACCACTCTACAATAAGGTACGAATTTAAGCATTCTGATACATGTTGCCTATAGTCAGAATTTCACGTAGAACACGATTCGCACAACGAAAATTACTGAAACCGACTCCTAACGAAGATATTAACGTTTTTATTTTACATTGGTTACAAGGAATTTGAACTGCCCGCTTACAAGTAACTCAGACCTCTACGTGAGTCAAATCGCGCACTACAACGAATTCAGCAATCTTCTCAATCGAGCAATGTTCATTTCCCACCATGTGTTGTCCAAACTATAAGCAATTTGCTATAGCTGAGCCAAAGCGTCAAGATTGAGGTTGCCTGATTTTTATATCACAGAGACTGTCATGAAAACGTTTAGGCGCGCGATGTGAATCACGTTGAGCATTGAGTTTTCCTGAGCGGGTGGTTTGAATTCACGCATCGTGAATTATTGAATATCTTCATAAGGAGTTAATTTCGGTAATTTTTGTTGAGCGCATCGTGTTCTACGTGAAATTTTGGTTAAGATGCATATATCAGAATGCTGACATTCGTACCTTGTCTAGTGGTCCATTGATATGAAATAAAGAGGAACTAAGTGCCAAAATATGCTAACTCATGTGCCCTGGGTATGTGACAAGCGCATTGTGGTCAGGGCTCATGAGTTAAAGAGCGTCCGTACGACGCTGACGTCACTGGCACTTTATGGTTCCCATTCATTCTTACGGCCCTCAACTAACGAGCATACTCCTTCTCTCCCACCCGTTTCTGGTTCCTTCCAACATATACACGTCCATTTTTCAATCAGAAACCTCTATTTGTGCACTCACAAAATCACCTATATGCATAGGGAAACTAGTAGCACAAACGTTGGTTGTAAAACCAGCCGGAAATAGCAGTTCCTTATTTTAAAATGTAGTCCAATTTCTTCTTCGCAGAAAAGGTGGAGCTCGAAGCCTGCAGGTCGATTGTTGAATGTCTATCGAATGATCCTGAACGATACATCCCTATCTTAGCCATGCTTTCTATCAGTGGCGAGGCGTGAATGATCGATTATCGATACATCCCCGTTTGAAGCTGTGGTAAAGGATCGATTATTAAGGTATACCCTGTTTATCGATCCTTTTCCATAGCTTTAGATGGCAGATCAATCGATAAATCGCAAATCCACCGCTGTCCATCAATCGAGGTCATTCGATATCGATTCAAAAATCGAGTCGCAGCTCCGATAGCTCGACAAGGCTCTCGGCGGAACTTACGGACTAATTCAGCGATCGAATTCCTTCAAGTTTACGAAGTCTTGGCTTACACAAAACTAACGAGACTTGTAATTAAACGTTCCGAACTCAATTACTGCTTTCCGGAGCGTTATTGAGCGGTTTCCGGGCGGTCTTTTCTCTGTTGAGCCCCGGCGCGCGCCGTATTCCTGTCTCAAATTCGCGTCGGCGAGGCCGCCTAAGTCCAAAATCCTCATCGAAGCTGGAGAGCTTTTCCGAAACGACGTCGCTCCTTTGACGTGAGCGTGGCTGCTTTTCAAGTTGAGCTCCACAGTCGATGTAACGCCATGGTTTCCAGGGCTCACGTTGCGATCGTCGATGGCTCTTGTGTTATAGGGTCGAGGTCGAGAGCAAAATGACGCTCTAGGCATCGAACAGTAACGATTCTCGTAAATTAGTAGAACAGTTCTTAGTTCGTTTGAATTTATGGTAAATGGGTCACTGAACCGTGTCTTTTTTATTGAACATTCTAAAAGTACCAGGTGAGTAAATGGGCCTGTTACAAACTTTTTCTACAGCAAAAATGAAAGTTGTGACTCGTGGAAACTGTCTCAAAAATCATGATGAGCGCATCGGCAAAGTCTAAAATGCACTCTTTACTTATTATAATTACAAATATAATAGAGAATTTGCAGGTGACTGAAATTTGATGAATCTCGTGTTTAAGTGGAAACTACTGAGTGAACTGAACACGAGGATACCCTTGGTTTATGAATTGAACAATTATTGGAAAAGATATGACAGAATGATCTAATCTGCTAAAATACGTGTGATTAAATGGGAAATGCCGCCGGATGACGTCACTAGGCGGTGTATTTTCTCATTTTTAAATCTATTTTCATACTACAAATATTTCCCTCATCAGAAAAAAATTATAAAAAATACCGTGAAATCAGCTCTTCAAGCACTTTCAGATGAAGCAATGAAAAATGTGCATGCAAATTCTCCATTTCATCATAAAATTAACCTTTGGCACCATTAAAAATGAATGAAATTAACCCAAAGTTTGTCGAAAATATTTTTCTTTTACCAAGTGGCACTGATTTTCATGAATCAAACGGAAGAATTGGTTATCGCGGATGATTAAATTTTCCTTTTGAATTCAAGGGGGAAAAAGCACCGTTCCGGGGTTATTTTTGACGTACACGTGTGAAAGTCTCCATTTGATGCTAGAATGCAATGTTGGATAGGCCCAGTTTTCGTGAAATCCAAACCGACCAGCGCGAACCAGTTTCACTAGCAGTCGAAAAGGCTCACAGTAAATCGGACGAGATTGATACTTCTAAAAAAAAGGCAATACGAGAGCGCTGCTGCAGGCTCGGTCCATCGCATTTCGATCTTTTCAACGCTTTCCTACGACGAAGCGCATAGTTTATCGAAATTCGATACGCGATCGAGCGCGCAACAGCAGCACTGACCGGGAACACTAGTGGATTGGCAGTTCCAATAATTGCGCTTGCGATTGTGATGAGGTTACCTGCAGAAAACTAAAAGTTTAATTCGGACGAATATTGGACTTCCATCCGTCAATTTGGAGAGGGGTTCAACACGGTTGAACTTCGGTAGACTTAATGCCGCATGTGCTATCGAACGTTGCCGAGTTTCTTTTGATAAAAAAAAAAAAAATTTGGAGTAAACTTTCATCGACTTTTCTTCCCATTTCTTGGAGGATTTGGCTCAAAATATAACCAAAATTACCTGAAATTTAAAGGGAAAATGGATGGCTTACCTCAGCATCAGCCTAAGTTTATTTGAAATTATACTGGTTTCCTCTTATCCCAGGTAGCATTTTTCAATGGAAAAATCGTCAGGATCGTCAACATCCGAGCGATCATCCTCAATCTTGGTGAAATTTTATCTGAATTCACCCGATTTTTTGTTCGATTACGTCACGATGAATCAATGTCCGTAAAATCGCGATTTTTTTTGCTGATTTATGGGATGAAATCCCAATTTATCGCAATGTTTAACCGCTTATACTGCAATGAAGCGACGACTATAAAATCGCGTTATATTTTCCGATCAAATTGCAACTAATCACGATCTCTGCTACTTAGAAATCGTTTTTTTTTTTTCGAGTTTAGTCTCGATTTTTTTCTAATTTTATTTACGAAATTCACGCGATGAAATCGCAATATTTTATCCGATAATGTTGCAATAAATTGATGTTGATAAAATCACAACTCATCGCGATCGTTAGGGAGTCTCCTCGTCGATACGTTGTCTCTGAAATGAGCCAGAAACAATAGTTCCTTATTAAAAATTAAGGCGTTGGGTGCAAAAAGGGCATTTCTTGGTTGCAGTGTCTCAAAATCTCCTTTCCTAATTTATATTTTAGAGAGGATACTAGATATTCAGTTTGAAATTTTCCGTTCTCAGCATTGTAAAATCATAAGGGAAATTCAGAAAAAGTTTCAACGATTTCCATTCCTTTGATTTAATTATAATAGATAAAACGCTAGCGGAGGTTTAGAGACACCCGAGTAGCACAGATTTCAATAGGTAGCAATTACGTTGTAACAATAACAATATTGCAATTCCAGTGAGCGTTGTGTATGTTGCCTAGCTCCTATTATTGAAGGGGCCCTGTTTATTGAAACTTATTGGAAAAAGTTGCAATTTTTCAATGCATTGCATATTGCGCATCTTTCTGACACATGGAGCTCATTTTGTTGATTATCGTTTAAAATCTGCTTGAATCGACTAGATGATGTCAAAATATTGCACTTTAATGGAAAAAAAAAATTATAATTGTATTAAAATAAAATTGCAATTTAATTTCAATATTTTCGTTGCACTGTGCCACTTGGGCACCGCAATCAAGAAATGACGTCTCTTCGCCCAACGCTTCGATTGTGATTTAATTTCGCATCCATGGATAGGCGGACTGAGGTCCTTTTCCCCTTGGTTGGTAACATACAATACATACAATAATTCTCTTCCTTCACTGGACGTTTTGGAGGGATCGAGAGCTTTAAACTTTAAACTTTTAGTTTTGGATTAGCCAGAGGGAATTTCGGCATTTGCACTAAAAAGATCAGCGGCGAGGAGTGACTCATTTCCTATTTGAAACTATTATAAAGAATCGATTATTAAGGAATGCCCTCATACTCGATCCTTTTCCCTATGTTAAAATGGCAGATCGATCGATTCATCGTAGAGCATGCGACACCTTTGAGAAGCATACGGGGCTAATTGGTGGACGGGTGGAAGGAGGGGAAGGGGCACAGATGGTATCTTGCGCCGTCGAAAAGTGGGGATTGGTCTGGCTATAGAGTTTAGGGTGGTCGATTAGTTTTGCATCCAGCGGAGCCGTTTTCGGCGTGACAGATTCGTCCGACTCACAGTGGAGCAAACTAATTGAGGAGGTTGGACATAAAATTTTTGGCTAAAATTTCAAAATTTGAATGTTTATTCTGTCACGAATTCTATGTCTCGGGGTGTTTTCGGAAGGAAATTCCACGAAAAAACCAATGGAACCGTACCGAAAAAAAAGAAGTTGTAGTAACATCCCGGATGTTGCGGTTGTTCAAAAATGAGCGGCAACTCTTGGATGTTGCTATTAACACTCCGGCAGTTAACGTAGCATGATAGGATGTAAAAGTAACATCCTAGGATGTTACTTTAACAGCCAGAGTGGTAATGACAACATCCAAGAGTTGTCGCACATTTTTTTAACAACCGTAACTTCCGGGATGTTACTACAGCATCTCTTTTTTCGGTGTACTCTCAAACATTTTTGTTTCATATTTTCGAAAATATAAGCTTTCAAAGTTTCCACATTTTGTCCGATATCTCTCATTGGCTCGACTAATGTGCGACTGGACGAGCGAAGGATTAGCGCGGCTGATGTATGGATTTCGTGCTTGTATTTGGGCGTATTTATGCTAAAAGGAACTATGTGCATAGGATTTGCTTGTAACATAGTTCTTTTTAGCATAAATACGTCCATTTAAGCGTATCAACGTCACTTTTGCACAATTCCCGGACCTTAACTCCTCGCCAAGATAGGCAGACGAAAATTTACGGTGCTGCCATTCCCTGGAAGTAATGTCGATATTTGCAGTCATTGCAATTTCTCGGAATTCGCGGAATTGAAGTTGCGATTTGACGGGAGAATGTAGCGGGATTTTATCGACGTTGATTCATATCAACATTATCGGAAACAAAATTGCGATTTCATGGCATAAATTTGCAATAAAATTTTATCGACGGCAATTCATCGCAACATTTTTTAGCAAAAATTCGCGATAAATTGAGGATAAATATCGATTTTATGGAACACTATTTTATACAGATGGAATTGCGACAAAATTCAGGATAATCGGCTAGGCGTTGATGATCCTATCGATTTTATCGTCAAAAAAGTGTAAAAACATCGCAACATAATGTCAAAGTATCACAATTTTTCCGTTGAAAAATGCTACTTGAGATGTGCAGAAATCTAGCAGCTGTACATTTTACGCAACGAGGTGATTACCATCTTTGAAGAATAACATAAATCCTCTTGAAATACGCTGGAACCACGAGTATAGTCAAAAAACCCGGCACAAAGGCACGAATAGTTGATTTTGTATGGAAATTAAAATGGAAGCTTGAGAATCGCAATTGGCCTCCTCTGTGCATGTACCCTCTCGGCGTGAAGTAGAAGAGAATCATTTTTACTTAGGTTACATGAACTGTGGTGTTCTACATCGACTGTGCTATTCGGTTCATGTAACCGTATTCTCGGTTCTAGGAAGCGGAAGTGCGGTTCCTAGAATCGAGTAAGGTTACATGAATGGCATAGCACGGCTGGTATAAGACACCCTACACAGAAGCAACCGAACTTTATTCTCAATGGCAGCTTTAATTTTTTAAGGCAGATTAAATCCATAGTTGGAAAAAGACAAACATCTTACATTCTGGATAGAAGTCCAATATTGTTGAGTGAGCTTTAAGTATTGCAAGTATCTCAGAAGCGGAGTTCCGGATCTAGGGATGCTATTACGGGGAAAGTAACTAATTAGGCCTGACCGGAGACTACTATGACACCAATAAACAAAATAAATGTAATAATTCAAATTTCTTAGTCTAGGTCATACGGAAAGTGCGACTTGACCCTGTCTACTATCAAATCTAATGCATCGAAAAGTTTAAATTTCAACATTTTACTGCGCACGAAGAATACCTGACCCAACAATCCACCTTCCGAACTTATTGCACAGAACATTCATGGAGTGCATAGAGTCGTAACGTAAATAGAAGAACTTTTAAAAATTTTCCAGGTTCCAAATTCCGTGACTCCTTTGTCACGCTGGGTCACTATTTCGATACACGATTGATTTTTTTCGATATAAAGGTACCCGGCTGGTCGATCTAAAAAAAGAGGTTATGACTCATTACTTATTATGCATCGGTATTTTGGATCGAAAATGTATCGAAAAGGTGGCCGAATCTCGACGCACACCGCGCTAGAAACTCGCCGACCAGAACATGGACCCAGCTCACTTCATTATATTTCGACTCTATGCACTCTATAAGAACATTTTATGGTTCTCAACTATAATCGTGATGTGGAATGCTTTGATGGTAACGACATGACAGAGTGGAAGTGATAAAATAGATGGGTTCGCTTGAGTAACACTTTCATGTAAACCTAGACAGAGATCATAGCAGATCCACCTTGTCTTCGTATATAATGTCCTGAGATTTTTAGGGATGAGCCGATCCTGGGGTTGAAAGCACTAAAAATTACAATGGGATCCCAATGACTCGACACGAAGGGGGAACTAACCATCGAGGCACATGAGCAATCTTGTTCATCCTGATGATGATGAGCATAGCCAGTCTCCGCAGTGGAGAAAATTGGGCATTTGTTATAAAGGAACCGACCCTCGTGAAAGGTGTCAATTTTTCTGGCTCATTTCAGAGCCGAAATAAATGAATAAGTGAGAAGGAAAACATACCAACTCTGTAACTCGGAAATGCTCCATTTTTATTAAAGACGGTCAATTTTCAAAGTGGTCATTGAAGTTGGCGCATCTGTTCCAGCTTAGACCTTTAAAGTGTCCTTCGGCACGAAAAATCTTTTCCTTAGACTAACTTCTTCACCTACTGTGCAGTTTTTTGTGTGTCTTTGTTATATTCATTTTTTCGAGTCGCTATGTTTTTGTTCTCACTAATTCAAATAACATTGAGCTCTCTGCGGATATATGAAAGGGTGAATTTTGATTTGAGAAGCCTCACATATACTCTTGAAACATACTCCCGCACTTTCAGATAAAATTCATGTGAAATGAAATAAGTCTAAGCACATTTAGAGCGTGACAGAAGATTGACCATCTTGATTCTTGAAATTTTTTCAATCCTAAAGTGAGGACAGATAATATTCTGTCACACTAAAGAGAATTTACTTATTTAGCATGAACTCCACTTGTTAAATCGCCCCGTTCCCTGCAGCTTTTCCTGGCTTTGCTCATGCTTAAATGGACTAAATTTTGCAATCGACAACTACAATTTTCGGCTCATCTCACAAACAACGTATAGGTCATAAGTTCCCAATACAGATAGGTTCTTTTATGAGTTAGCACAAATTAGTAGTTCTTAATTGCAAAATGTAGTCCAAATACGTAAAAGACGATTCCCGTACGTTGGTATTGCTGAAATTCGCCCATTTAAATGTATGTAAAATAATCGATATTCATCAAGTCAGCTACCTCGCCTAGAATAGATTATTTATAACGGATTTAAATGGGGGAAATGCAGTGGTACCAACTATAAAGAGTCGCCGCCGAAAAATACCCTCGGTGAACATTGAACTTACGCGGTGGTTTTAATCTATGTAACAGCGTGGATCCGATTTACTGCGAGCCGCCGCTGAAAAAAATATTGATTTAATTTTCTCACTTATTTACAAGCATTAGTTTCTGCATGATTGCAATCGCGGAGATTGGAGCAAGAAAGACCGCCATGACCCGAGGATTCGTTTAAATCCCACCCTTAAACTGAAAAAAACAGCGACCTAAAAGAGGATGGAGCCACTGCTGCGTCGACCTCAGCATTGTCAATGTGAAATTCCAGCTGATGGGTGATATTTCCGCAAATGGGTGTGAGGGTTTGTTTTTTGAGCTCGAATCCTGGGGTCAAACTGTATCGAGGTGCCCGCACCTCGAGGGCTTTTTCTTGCCCCAAAAACCTTGACACTGGATCGACACACCGCAGAGGACACTCACACTTTGCGACTTGTCAGTTTCGGCGCCGTTTTCGTGGTCGTTACTAAATCAACCCTTCCCCTTTTGAGAGAAATGGATATAAGTAAGGGAGGTTTAAGTATCTCCCCATTTAAAGCTGTGAAAAAGAATCGATCGTTAAGGTGTTCGTTGCGATCACCCCGTTTATCGATACCTTTCCATAGGTTCAAATGACGGATAAATAGATATATCGCCACGGAGACGGATCCAGCAATTCGACAGCACCGGATTTCCACCATTTTCACCTGTGTTAAATAATCGATTCTTGTCGGAGCACCTGGCCCCTCCAAGGATCGATACATTTCCGTAGGTTTAAATTGGGGAAAAGCAGCGTTGCCAATTTGCTGGATCCACAAATATATCGTGAAGTACGCGAAGCCATCTACGAGTCGGCGATTTACCTGCGGCAAAATGGGAGTGTTCGGAGGGTGTGTCGACGTTTAAGCCTAGAGTTGGTGATTCGGGGGATGATTACTGGACGATGATGTGCGGGGCGGAGAGGAGGACGGTGATGGTAGCGATGATGGTGAAGAAGGTGAAGACGAAAAGGCAGAACCGGTCGACGACCATGGCGGCGAACTTCCAGTCGGAGATCACCTCGGCCTCCTCGTCCTTCTTCCGGAGTCGCCCGGTGATGAAGCGGAGCTCCCGCAGGATGTGCTGCATCTCCCGCTGCGCTATCGAGCACATCGCCGTCTCGTCCACCTGCAACAGCCCCCGGAGCATCGTTACAGAGAGAATAAAACATTAAGAAGTGACCCGAACTGTATGTAACGAGGTGGAGAAATGGTGCTAGATCCCCACCAAATCGCGGGGAAAACAAGGTCAAGAAGTTCCAAAAATTAAAATGGACCACTAGACAAGGCACGAATTTAAGCATTCTGATACATTTTTCTTAACCAGAATTTCACGTAGAACACGATTCGCGCAACAAAAATTACTGAAACCAACTCTTAACGGAGATATTAAAATTTTTATTTCACATTGGTTACGAGGAATTTGAACTGCCCGCTCACAAGAAACTCAAAGCTCTACGTGAGTCAAATCGCGCACTACAACGGTTTCAGCAAGCTTCTCAATCGAGCAATGTTCGTTTCCCACCATGCGTTTTTCGAACTATAAGCAGTTTGCTTTAGCTGAGCCAAAGCGTCAAGATTGAGGTTGCCAGATTTTTATATCGCAGAGACTGTCATGATAACGTTTGGCGCGCGATGTGAATCACGCAGAGCATTGAGTTTTCATGAGCGGGTGGTTTAAATTCACGCATCAAGAATCATTAAATATCTTCGTAAGGGTTGATTTCGGTAATTTTCGTTGTGCGTATCGTGTTCTACGTGCAATTTTGGCGAAGAAACATGTATCAGAATGCTGAAATTTGTACCTTGTCTAGTGGTCCATTAGAGTCAAAATTAATTTTTTGAACTCTAATGCGCACCAGTGCGAAACTGAGGGGGGAGAGTGTTCAGCTCAGGCAGTTTGCATTGGAATATTAAGTTGGAGTCACGTCGAGAGATCTATACCGGTTTGGGCCTTTTTAGACCTCATCAGTAGATTTGCCGTCTTGGATTTTGCGGCATGTTAAGTTGGGTTCACTGCCGAGTGTGATCTACTGATGAGGTCTAAAAGGGCCCACACCGGTATAGATCTCTCGACGTGACTCCAACTTAATATTCCAATACAAACTGCCTGAGCTGAACACTCTCCCCCCTCAGTTTCGTACTGGTGCACATTAGAGTTCAAAAAATTAATTTTGACTCTAATTTTAATTTTTGGAACTTTTTGGCTTTGTTTTCCCCCGAAATGATGTGGACCCAGCACCATTTCTCCACCTTGTTAGAGAGAGATAAGAAATGAATCGAAGTTGTTCGGTTCACTTTGTATTTTTCGTTCGATTCATGACGATCGATTACATGCCTTTTCGTTACACGCAGAGTTCCTATCATACTTTTTTTTTTAACTGAACAATTCGCCTTCAGCTGCGTCTGTAGCAGTTGTTATTACGAACATGTTGTGCGCATTGATTTTAGCTCATCACATACTAGACTCTCTGAAAGCGCTCGAGCTACTATTTTGCCATGAAGGTGTTGCACAGTGTCATACGAGATTGAAGGCACCTCAACGTCTCATGATTGATGGCATCTTCCAAAATAACGAAGTTCTCTGCAAATTCAATTGAGTGACGACTACAAAAAGGAAGCAGTGGTCGGAAAACGTATTAAGTCCTAGTATCTGTATTCAATAACATTTAGCATGATTTCCGAACTTTATTAGAGGAAAAAGCCCTTTGATTCAAAAAGACATATGCTCAAATTTACCGCCGAGAAGGTTTCCGTATGCACCAGTAAAGAAAAGAATGCTTGTGTAAGGCAGAAAAGATGCTTACATAAAAAGAAAAGTCATTTACATTATAAGCAGAAACCCCATTCAGCGATTTTATTCTTGACTCAAAACAAAACCTTCTTGACGGCATACTTAAGAATGTTCCTGCCTAAGTCAAGTCACTTTTTCTCAAATGAAATTCAGAAATTATGCCAGACGTTATTAAATACGGATGCTAGGACTTCGTGAGTTTTTGGACTACCGCTCTCTTTTTTTGGTAGTAGTATATTGATTTATTTTATACTCGATTTTTATATTTCTTTTATAACTCGAGGAAAAGTCCATACTATTAAGGGATGTCTGTCACTCTTAATATACTGAAGCGCTTTCAATTCTATATGATACTGTGCTACACCACTGTTGTGAAATAGTTTCTTGAAGCGCCGTGGCACTCCGCGGCGTGGCGGACAACCAGCGTGACACGTGAATGGGCGCCTTCAAACCTAACAGGGATACTTCACGCATTGCGCAATGCGTGAAGTATCCCAGTTAGGTTTGTAGGCGCCTCTGCGCGTTCCGCACCGGCAGCAACCGCTCCGCTCTGTGTTAGGCTCTAATATTTAAACTCACTAAGTCAGCGATTTTCAAGTCATGATTTTGAAATGTTTGCACACTCTGCATGGAATATTCTCATTTAAATTGATGAAAACCAATAAGTATTTTTTTTTTTTTTTTTTTTTTTTTTTTTAAAAAATTTTTTTT